CTCCGCAATAGGCGCTATAAGGGCGCTAGCCTCACACGGCGGCGTGGGTGGCGGCCGCGGCGGATTATTTAGGATCTAAATTATAGGTAGGTAGATATCATATCTGGCAATATCTGGCGCATGTCTCGAAAAGAGCTTACAACTTTGAGAACTAGGCCACTCACAATAGTCACCGTGGATTTGACTGGTTACAGCCGTAGGGGGCCGGTCGGACCAATGTCGGGCGACTGATGCACGGAGGGGGCCGGTCGGACCAATGTCGGGCGACTGATGCACGGAGGGGGCCGGTCGGACCAATGTCGGGCGACTGATGCACGGAGGGGGCCGGTCGGACCAATGTCGGGCGACTGATGCACATCACCGGCTGACGTGTGGGAGGTGCCGCCCCGTCAGCACTCACGTCACCGCCGCGCCGGGGGGCAGACGTAATGACTGACGTGATGTTCCTTGAGCTGATACGTAGATGACGTGCAGTGATTTGGATTGAGTGACGTGTGACGTCATAGATCAAGCTATCAGGAAGGGAGTGATGATATGGGGGGGGGGAGGGTGATGACTCGAGAAAAGGTGACGTAGAGTTGATCATCCAGGGTAGGTAAAACGACATTGGGTAATGCATTTTTCAGTGCTTTCCAGTAGATAGAGAGCAAACGACCCAAGCGTTGAATGGTAATACAGATTACGCAAAAAGATAGCGAATCAAATAAAAATCCATCGCACTTTCCCTACACCATTAACAATAGCAAGGTAAGGAACGCCACATGAAGACAATTCAGTTTCCCATGTAGACGGTTTTGTCACGAAACTGCTCCCCTACCTTGGGCTGAGTGCGGGAAACAAACGGCTGGAAAAGAGCTCAGTAACTGGCCCGTCCCTGTCCGCCATACGTCAGCCGTCTCACAGAGGGGAGAGAGAGAGAGGAGAGAGGAGAGAGGAGAGAGGGGAGGAGGTGCTCTCGGACGACCCTCTTCCCAGCCTACCGCCCGCCAGGAGGGGTCCTCTCCCACACAAAACAGACAGAGCAATGAAAAGATTTCCTCACAATTTGAACGCGGTTCGATTCATCACGGCTGCCCTTCCACTTCAGTTGGCGGCGCGAAAACAGCTTCTGCTCTCTCTCGGCTGGGACGAGAGGCGGCCATCTTGGACAGCTGATATACACTGGTGACGCGGTCTGCGGCGGAAACGGCGCACAGTGCCGGGCGGAAACTGGCGCAGCCGCCGACCGGACACGCACAAAAGTCGGGGAGGAAAAGGTCGAGTTCGGTAGAAATGAAATAAAACTGGGGCGGATGAAGGACAAAGGCGATGAAGCGAGATATCAGTGGCGAGGATATGAGAGTGTCTGAAGATATTCAATAATCGTCTTGTCCTGTCGGCAGGAAGGAAGTGTTCGTCACCAACGGAACTCGTTGAGGCCTGAACGTGCCTGCGCTGAACCTTATTCATTATCGTTATGTAAGTCCTTTGTCCTCCATTATCTTGCACTTGTTTCCGTTTCCGATCATCATGGGCTGCCGCTGGCGTCTCGATCCGGAATTCTAAAAATCGATGACCTCAGATGACCTCAGGGCTCAGTCCGACCGACTGACAGAGAAAGACAGACTTCGCGGCGGATTCTATCAGCCTCGGTCCGTTCAGTCCTCAATCCAATCTCATTTTTGTAGTCGTTAGTCCAAAACTGAACCTTGCGCACGGTGCGTTCCTCGGCATAGGCTTACCATCATCAGGCTGAAAACGGCGGGCCATTCCCTCTACCCCGAACAGCTCCAGCCGCCAGCTCCCGGGTATTTATTTTCCCGGCATGGTTCTCAGCTCATCTCCAGCTGAGCGGAAAGTAGCAGAGCTCGACACGGCACAACAACACGTCATGTTTGTTTGTGTCGCTGCCCGGGCCACATGTGAGACGACAGTTGTGAATCTGAAGCTGGGCGACAGCCGGGCACGGCCGCTACTACCGAGGGATGACCATGGAGGTCGAGCTCACCCCAGAACACCGCTCCGTCCGCGCCGGGACCTTTGATTCGCCGGCGACCACTTCACGCCAGCGCCCACTTCCGGCCGGGCAGTCGGAATGGGGCGGCCGGCGCGATATAAAACCGCAGCGCTCTGACGAGATGGGCGACTAAGTGGGCCCGCCGGCACCGGAGCGGGTGCTGAAGGACCAGCGCGCCGGCAGCCGGACTCTGCAGGCTTCACCGAGCGAGCGAGCGCACACCACGAGGGCGAGCGTAACACCGCGCGGGCCCCGACTCCCACCTGTCCGTGTGTGCGCCTGTCTGTGCGTCTGTGTGTGTTTGTATGCCTGTCTGCGCCTGTCAGTCGGTGAAGTGCATACCCCGGTAGGCCGGCCGGTTGACACAGGAATCTGATGCGGTGAACAGGCGGCGCGGTGCGCAGCACGCCTGCTGAGAGGCCGTGCACTTTATTGGTCTCCGTTCTCCGGGTTCTAGTTGTATCTGATCATCCACACGGCTGATGTGCGTCACTTCAATAACTCATCTCTAGCGTATGCAGACAGCGGCGCCAGAAGCACAGCGTTTTTACAGCTCGTCTAAAAACACCGTTAGTTACTGGGTTTGAGAACTGTGGAAAGCTGCCACTCTACTGCCGGGGGCTGTTTGTCTCCGTACCGAGCCGGGTCTAACAAACTGTAGAAAGTCGCCACTCCGGAGCCCAGGGGCGGATCCAGAAAATCTCCAAGGGAGGGGCCATTAGAAACCAGGAGGCCCCCATAATCCCACCTGTTGGAGGCCCCATCTTCCCACTTGTTGGCCCCCCCCCCCAAAAAAAAAGAACTGCGTCTATTGAGCTTATCTAGCTGTTCAGGCAACATCTCAACATGAATAGCCACTTTATTTTCAGGAGGCCCCCTTTTCAGCTTTTTAACTTTTTATTTTATTTTTGAAAAAAAAAATCGGCCAAGGGGGGGGGCCATGGCCCCCATGGCCCCCCCCCTTGTATCCGCGCCTGCCGGAGCCACCCTGGGAAGATGATGGCCGTGTTTTTTATAGGTTACGGGTTGATAAGTCGCGTGACGTTCGACACAAAACGCCACCGGACGTCACATTCCGCCATGCCGCACATCACATACCAACGCGTATTAACGGGACAACTCGTGTCAAAATCTCTTTCATCAAACACTGTCAAACCCCTAAAGCCCTTTGTAATCAAGCATAATCTTATCGGCTTATCATACTGGATCAAGGTCGCTGATAAATCATTTATTTCCAACGTTTTCCTTTATTATAAGAGAACGCTGACGCAGGACGTCCTGCGCTGTCCAATTCGTAAATAGCTTAATTACTGTGCCGAGAAAAATGTCATCACAGAGGCAGTGACCTAGGGTGCACTGGTGCAGTGACCTGCGCTTCTCGGATGCAGTGAAATACGCAGTGGTCATCGCAAGCCAGTGCCCAATGGTATTTTGTGCAATAACCTACACCTGACCTGACCCGTGACCGTTGCACTCTACCATTGCTGAGCACTGGATCTAATCAGTAATCAGTCCGGTAAACGGTGTCTCCAGACTCCCACCAGTCTCTCCACCCTTGTCGGAGCTACCCATCCCCCCCCCCGATCATCACTCCTGCGTGTCCACCCCCCCCCCCTCCCCCTGGCCGTGAGTTGCAGCGGACGGCGGCGCCAATTGCTGCCGATGAGTGCCACTGACGCCACTAGCGTGATCAGCTCGGCCACCGATCGATGGATCATGGTGGAGAGCGAGGCGGTCGACCCGGCGGGACAGAAAGGAACCCTGGAGGACCCAGAGCCCGGCGGGACGAGCGGGGCCCTGAGGACCATCAGAGGCCCCGGCAGGACGAGTGGGGGCCCTGGAAGACCTGCTGGGGCCTTGAAGGACCCAGTGGAGCCTAAGAGGACAGACTGAGACCACAGCGAGTCCACCTAAATTCACGCGAGCGCACTTGATGGTCTCAGCGGTGAGCAGGGCCACTGAGACAGCAGTTTACCCGCTGGTGTCAATGCAACCCTGTGGCCTGGATTACAAGACCCACTACACAGGGTATATCAGGATTGACCCAAGCCAGCGTGCCACTGACGCTGACCCGAGGCGTCACGAGCGGACCGATTGCGCTCCGGCCTTGGGTGCCGTTAGTCTTTCTTTGAGCGGAGACTCGGCTGTCAGCCACTGAATGGACGGCGATCGCAGTGAAAAGACGATAGCCAGAGGGATTTGGCGCCAGTGCAGGACCCCCGACGTCCAATGTCCAGTGTAAAGGATCCAGTGTACAGGATCCACTGTCCAGTGTCCGGCGTCAATTGTTCACTATACCTATTGTCCAGTTTTTATTTCACTCATCAGTACTAATTATACGCAGGTATTAGGGTTCTCTTCTATCCTTTATCCTCCAACCAACTGTCCAGCGGCACTGTCTAATTTTCAAAGTCAAGTGACCAATGACCATGTCCAGTTGACAGTTGTCACGATAGGAATCTCGTGACTCACGCGTCGCTCCTGTCTCGGCCGTGACTGGCCCACTCCACGCCACCACAGCAGCAGCCGGGCCTCCACGAACGCCCCCAGGGCAATTGACAGACCATGTCCCGGAATTCGCCGGGTGATTATCTGAGAGCTCAGACCACCGGCCGTGGCTCCCGCCGGCCGCCAGCACGTGCACGTGCTACCACACGCTGGCGCCCGTACAAAAACCGGTCTGGGCTGGTGCTAATACAAACTGACACCCCCGACACAGACGTGAACGGTACGAGAGGTTGACACAGACAGATGATGATGAAAATTCAGTCTGATGAAGATGACACGTGACTGACACTGAAATCGTAACGTGCACACTGCGCAACGCCAACGTAACACAAGCGTTTGACGTTCACATTGACATAAGCACGTCACAGTTTACACGCCCTGACACACCCTGACAAGTGACACGTCACACAAACTGAGTGACAACCGCTGACACCCAGCGCCGGTAGGGACGCCGGCGGGCAGCGGGCAGTCCATCACCCTACCCCGCCCGACTCACCGGAAAGATGTCCTCGTCCAATCCGCCCGCCTCGTGGTCTTGTCACGTCAGCTCGTCACGTGCGCACACCGAGTCACACCGCGCACACTCACACTCACCGACAGCGTCGAGCACGCCGCAAATCAAACACCTCTATCGCGCCGGTGGCAGCTCTCTGTCGTGACGTCACACGGCGGCGCACTGTGCGTGCGAAGAGGTGGCACGCACGCCCGACGGCCCTGCGCGGGAATGTAGGTGCGCGCGCGCGCGCGGCCCCCACCGCCTGGAAGAGAGGTGAGCAGTGAGAGTCGGCGGGAACGCCGAGCGGCTCCACTGCCGCCAGGTGGAGCGGGCGACGCGCCGGCGAGAGTCGGTCGGTAGGGGAGGGGGAGGGGGCGTCCGTCCGTCCGTCCGTCCGTCTGTCAGTGGCAGAGCGGCCGGAGAACGACTCCCGAGAAAGAGCAGAGGGGTGAGGATCTCTGACGGCGACCTCTGACGCAATGATGACAACCAGCGACACTGCCCGGTTCGTTGGTGGGAATTCGTACACTATGCGGTTATTGAAGGTTCTGAGAGTGGGTTAGGTACTGAGCTAAAGAGTCCACTGGGAACATGCTACTACACGTATCAAGGCACAGTGCAACTGGCACTGTGGCACAGTCGTCCTGCTGAGTTCCCGATGCAGCTGAGCTGAGGCGGGCCTGCCGGCCGTCCCGACGGAAATGCTGCGTCGCCGTTTGATTTTTCTGCTTCCTAGAAGTGGTCTAAGTGGCCCCAATGCCTTCCACCGGGCTGCGTATGACGTTTGCAAGGCACTTGTGGCAGAAGGAATTGGCTCCAACTTTTCTGAGCACCTTCGAGGAGAGCTGATGGAAATTGAATGCCATTCAATTTCTCTTTTCACCCTCTCCTAAGTAAACATTTCATTTGGCTCTGACAGTGTCAAATACAGAATAGTCCTTGCTGACGATGGAAAGTGTGTCCAATATCTGCAAACACCAGCCAACTTCGTCAAACTTCGCACAAGATCGCCCTTTATGTTCTTGTTTTGCTCTCGAACATACTCGGGTTTTAGGATGAGCTGCAGTGTTGGAAGAAGCACTAGCAGCTTCAAAGACTTGACACGCTGCAAAAGTCTTCTCTGTCATAGTCTTTCATTTTCTGGTTCGATTATCAATTGCTAAATAGACGTATACCGTATCGGAAGTATCATTTTTTTACACTTTTCATCTTTGTCCTCTGGATGATCAACTAAAATTCAAACCATACATACACATTACAAACCTGCTAAAAGCGTGCTGAAAACGTGTTATTAAAAATGTGTCATTTTTTAAGTTCATTAGAAATGAACAAAATGTGGATATCAAATAAAAACAAAGGGGCATCAAATGGTTCCAATTGAAAGGAATGTTTCAGGTCCCTGAACAAACGATCGTCAAATATTAGGTGATATGTTAGTTTTTGGAAGACGCTTCCTCAAATTTCAGTCGACCCATTTCAAAACATTAAACACTAAAAAAGTAAAAAAAGCTCATGCAGTTCCTTGTAACATATTTGCTCAGCGATATTGAAGATTTTCATATGGAAACATATTCAAGCATTTCCGGGGTCCAAATCCACATCATGCTATTCTAAACTCTTTATCCCTCAGAGTCTCTCAGAGTTTTATTTCAAAGTACGGCATTTCCCCCAGATGCTATGCGCCGAGTTTTCTTTTCGGCGAACAAGGGACCGAGTTGAGAAGTCCCGTCAACGACCAGCGCGCAATGGCGCAGACACGACTGTAATGGATATTGGAGGGACTCCAACTTACAACAACTCCCCAAGTTTACGACTATGGCAGTCTATATGATCGCTGAATGACGCCAGGAGATGGAAGCCATCGATGACTGAGTCACAAAAATGCCCGGGACGAGCGTACAACTTCGGTTTCTGTATGCCACCGCAGTTTCATTGGACCCTCTGGAAATTCACGTTGGCAAGGAAGACGACATTTAGCAATGCTACCAAAGATGCGATGAAATACGATACAATATTATTTCCATTTGAATAGAACAGTCAATCTCACTAAAAATTTATAATCTACGCGTATACAGACGCGAGCTCTTCAAAAAGGAAATATTTTAAATTCAAAATAAAAAGGTAAAAGACGCAAAACAGTAACAAATATTCATAAATAAGCTAAACCCCATTTAACTCGTTGTGATTTGTTCGATGGGTAGCAGCTATTTTGAATCGAGTGTTTTAATCCGCACAGATTTATCTGGAGCGACGATGATACCGGTAGGAGGTATAGCAAAGCCCCGTGCATATGCCTTATCTATGAACATTGGTCATGGATCAAACCAGCAAATAACAACTTTAACGCCATGTACATATTTCGAAAAAAAACGATTAGCACAATCCTAATCCCCTCATTCGTTCATTAATGACGTCATGTGACACGCTTTGAATCACGTCACGTCACGTCGCGTCACGTGGCACCTGATGTGTCGCCGTCACGTCCTCCGATCAATGCGACTGGCGGGAGTCACCGACCGTCGACGCGACGCTCGGCTAAGTGACGGCGACATCGATTGAAGAAACTCCGCGAAGTCCACCGGCGGACTGCGACTCTCGATGAGGCCAAGTCAGGGCGGGTCGGGTCAGGTCATGGCTTGGTTCAGATCGTATTGGGGTCAGAGCCAGGATCGAGGCTGGGTCAGATCAGGTTACGGCCGGGTCATGATTAGTTCGGGTCGGAAATGGTCCAGATGGGCCGGGATGGGATGAATATAAAACTAGACGCAAAGGGTGAAGTCTATCGAAGACTGGGCGACGTCCGCAGCAGGGGCAAACTCTAGTAAGCATGTTATTAAAACCCAGAGGGCTGAGAATCCAGCGCAGGCCAATGCCGAGTCCTGATCGATATCGGGGAGCCACGCCTCCCATCAGCTGATTCACCTAACATTTGGCCAGTAACCAAACTCCAAACGGTTTTATTTCACCGAAAAACATGACGTCACGTTCGTCAGTACTTGTTCTTGCCCATGCCACGAACGGTGAACAAGCCAAGAACATTCAAACTGCATTCACGGTGCAGGTTCTCGGGCTATTTTCAGCTCGGCAGGCACCGCGGTAGTCCAATGACGTCAGATACCGTCCGTATCCGGGATGCAGTTGTCGACATGGTGTTACGCCGCATCGGTTCGAGTCCGCTCAGCCTCATCGTCAGACACTAATTGGTAATCAGCGTGGTGCTCATTTTCAGCTGACGCGTGGATGAGTGTTTAATTAACGTGTCGTCGGGTCAGGAACAAAGCGGCGTGTCGTAGCGTCGACCAAAGATCATCAGTCAGCAGAGCAATTTGTAATTTTGACGCATTCGTCAAGTAAATGTGACGCAGTTGCTGCTGGAAGTAGAGGCTGGTATCTGTTTGATTATTAGATCTGTATCGGAATCATGCATATATTTTATGATCAGATAAAATTTTGGCTAGAAACCAGCTTCCAAACTGCTTTATTTCACCGAAAAACACATGACGTCACGTTTCGTCGGTACTTGCTCATGCCCCTTCAACGAACGGTGAACAAGCCAAGAACATTCAGACAGCATTCACGGTGCAAGTGCTCCGGCTATTTTTGGTGAACTTTCATATATTTGGTCGAATTTATTTCTCCACGACAGCATAACCCAAAGCAGTGGCTGGCAGAAATGATACTAAGCGCGGCCGCGGCTTTGAAAAAATATTTGGAACATACATCATTTCAAATAACCAATAAAAATAGTTAAAAAGCAGGCAGCATGATATCAGATTTCGTAGTGGCAGAGGTAGCTGGGAAGGACATAACCCAAGTACCGGCTTGAAGGAGACTCAATGCACCCCACAAATTGAAGCATATCAGCCACGCACCTGAGGTGTTTCCTCCGCTGTGGATAGCTTGTGGAGAACGAGGCTCCCGGTCCTCACATGGTGACCTGCACGGAAGACTGCAACATGAAGACAAATTCAACAACAACAAAAATAGCTTGTGTCATCATCTTTGTCGAATTATTGATCTGCATCAGACTAAGAAGCCAGGTGCTGCCCTTTAGCAGCCTCCAGTTGCAGCATGGACCTCACGTCCTGTGCTCTCACTGCAAAGGCCGCGGATAGAATTCCACGCGCACCACCCGCCAATGAATGGCGGGCCGCAGCCGGCGAGAGGGGGGGGGAGGGTTGAGGTCACAGCCCCCAGGGTCGGTGCAGCTGTGACCTTTAACCCTGACGAACGTCCCGTGCCGGCGGTCAGTGCCGGCAGCGTGGCGCCGTGTCCCGACCTACCGCCGTGAGATCAGTTAATCCCGGGCGGGACGGGGCACTCGGCGGGCCGTCAGCTGGGGTGGAGCCGCTCGGCGTTACCTCCAGCCGGCCAGCTGACACCGGCTCCCCGGTGGGACGGCAGGGGAGGGGAGGGAGGGGAGGGGAGGAGGGTCAGGGTGGCGCGCGGGAAGGGTCGCTCGGGGCCGCACCGGGCCCTCCCACCCGGAAAGGAGCCGGTGATTCCGGACCGCCGCCGGCACTGGCCGACAGAGGCTCCTTTGATGGCGGAGCGGGCCGGATTGACGCTCGACGCCTGTCCTCCGGAGACGGCATGTCCCCGGGACAGACGCCGCGTGTCCACGGGGACAGACGGACCCACCGGCGGCCCCACAAAGCACATTCCTTCCCCGCCGGCGGTAACCGGCGTCTCCCCGGCGTAGCGGCCACACAGGGGGAGAGACAGGTCCCCCAGCCAGGTAAAACACGCGGGGCAACGAGCACAAAGATAACGGCTTGAGCTTGATATTGACTGTCACAGAAACAGCCAATGGGCAAACCACGCAAAAAAAAAAGAACGTTTGGGTCTATTGCAGAACATGTAACCGCGACAGAGCATCCAGTTTAGGTCGTCCAGTATTGTTCTCCTGTTCTTTGTCCAAGCGTTCCAATGACATACTATCGCATCGATAAAATCCGAACCGCGAAGGTATAAATCTCAAAGCTTTCATTTGAAATCGGCCGCCTCTTTTGTTCCCAGAAACGACCAGCGCTCATTGGGCTGTATTTGCTCCGGGCTGGTCACACCGAACTTCGGTTACCTGAGGGGGGAAGAGGGGAGAGAGGACGGGAGGACAGAGCGCGACGAGAGCACACCTGGTGATCTCGATGTACACCTGCCTCCTCGGTCCAGAACACAATTGGATCCAATGGCGGCGTTCCGTCCGCCCGGGCGCCCTTCCCTCTGTCAACGGAAAGAAGAGCGAGCGACCTCACAGACCATGGACAGAAGACCATGTGATCTCAG